CCCGCCCGCGCCCCCGCGCCGCCCCGGCCGTGCCCGCGCCACGCCGGCCGCCCGCGACCACGCCCTCGCCCTCGATGGCCGTCACCGCCCGCGCCCTGCCCTCGGCTGCCATCCCCACCCGCGCCCTCGGTCGTGCCGGCCCCGTGCCCGTGTCGGCAGTCCCCGGCCGTGCCCGTGCCGTCCCCGGGCCCTACAGTGCCCGATCACACCTGGTAAAAATTATGAATATGCAACGTAGGTGCTTAGTTAGCTTTGATTGTAATGTAGTAGTTCGATTATTTGTTATTTACTAGTTAATGTGATGACTCAGGTAATTGATTTAGTTAGTGATCTAGTGAGATAGATATGTAGACAAATAGAAAAACATAGATACATAGGTACATATATATAGTTAGATATGTAGATAAATAGAAACATGGATACATAATTATATAGACATAGCTATTTTGTGAGTACACTGTATATATACGTAGTTATTTTCTTATTTACTTAGTTTATAGTTAGAAAGTACTCGTTAGGTACTATCTATCGTCTAATTTTGACTAAAGGACATGTGTTTCGTTATGTGTTTGAACTAGATGGACAACCTAGTTACCATATATCATGGAGGCACCGTTGAATGCGATCGCTATGGATATGTTGAGTATTTTGACATGCAAAGCGTGCGACACGTTACAGGCCGAGGCTATAATGGATAGAAGATGACTACGCCGACATCGAGTCCTCCGACGATGAAGACACGGCGTACAACCAATCTACTCGTGCAGAAAAGCAGGTGGAGGCAGGACCAATCTTGGACAGAGTGGTAAGTCAATTGCCTTATTTTCTACATTAAGTTGCATACCAATACATTGTGCGTTAGAGGTATCTATTTAAGTTAGTGCCACCTTCGAGCTGTAGCATCCTTATAACATGTTAGATTCTTGTACAAAAGAAAACAAAACCTATTGCTATCTGTTCAGAAGTATTATTACTGAGAACTTTGTTGCAGGGCAATACCCTCAAATGCTCTGTTAAAGACATTGAGCGCTTTCGTCCAAGAGTCAGGGACAACGACACGCGTAGCTTTCTAGATGTAAGATTCAAAATATTCTTTCAAACTTATTATTAATACATTAGATTTTTTCAGTTAACATAATTTTGTACAACAGAGGCCATCACATTGGCTACGCCGTGTAGTTGCTCGTTGTGGTTGCAGGACAGACACGATGCAAGATGTGTACGTTCCTTCCGCAGGCAGAAAAGGCTTAGGTTCCTCTAGCCAAGCACCTGTAGGGGACGAGGACGAGGACGAGGACAACAACAACGTGGACCAGAGGCACGAGGAGCTTAGCCCCTCTCAGCTCCAGGACGCTCCCTCGACTTAGCCTACACAGCCTCCAGGCACTAGGCGACGCCGTCCATCTGACCCTTACACTCCAGGTACTAGCGCTCTTGGTCATAAGGATAAGGGTAAGACTAGGAGGCAGTGAGGGTTTGTGGTAGATATTAATATGTACTATTATGAATTTTGTAGTTACTTTCCTATAACTATTTGAGACTGTATGGACATTGTGGACTATTTGAACTATACAGGACATGTTATGTTGATTGTGATATTCGTTGTGGTTGTATTGTGCTCTTTGGACGATTAAATGTTTGGATTATATAATGATGTCTTTGTTTGTAACTGTGGATGCTCCTGAAACAAGGGAAACTCTTGTGAATTTTTTCCATGAATCATTAATTATACTACACTGCTAAAAAGGCACAAATGTAGTACATGGATTAAATGTAAATTCATTAGAACGTGTATAGTCCAATCGTATCGTACAGACGCTTTGCAGATAAATCTAGGCTTTTCAGTAACAATGAACGAATTTAGGCTTTTCAGATAATGAAAATAGACTTTTCAGTTACAAGAACGAGGAGTATGATGACAGCAGCGATTTATTACTTCACTTACATAGTACACCTATAGCATCTAGGCTTTTCAGTAACAACGAACGAATCTAAGCTTTCTAGTGTCCATTGAAATAGGCTCTTCAGTGAAACTAATTAGGCTTCTTGTGACCAGTTAAAACACATTGAAACGACAACTAAACCCGCCTCTGCTTATATATACGCAATGTTGGATGCATTGCTACTTACTTCCCAACTAGTATTTTCTTTCGTTGCAGTACCAATATCTGGAGGGTCGTCCAGAGGAAGAGAAAAGGGGAAGGGAACTACCATTGTGCAGGAAGGTTCTCTTGGTCCCGATTTCTTTGATAAAGCTCTTTATGAGGTTTTCAGTTGAGAGCAAAAGTGATTTCACCAAAGAGACACCACTGAGAGATACGATGAACGGAAAGAAGAGTGGCCAAAATGCATGCATGGTGAGGACTGCCTAGTGCAGATATTCACCGAGGGAATAGATGGAGGTCGTCGTTTCTTCAAATGCCCGCGAGCATGGATAATTGGTATTACTATTTGTTTCTTCAATATGTTTCTCTTCTATACAACTTACATGACATACTTATTGTAGTCTTTCTTGGTCGAAGAAAACTGTGGGTTCACTAGATGGGTCGATCATCGATCTATTTATCCGCATGCGGAGTACATCTACTACCTACGGAACCGTATCTTCGATCTAGAAAGGGAAGTTAGCAGCGGTTACATGGATGAAGGATAGGACGACAACAACAATGATGCCGATTCACAGGAGGCACTCTGCAATGATCCATATTGCACCTGCCCTAACCACAAGAACAAGGGGCCTCCGCCGTCACCCCCGCCACCACTACCACCAACAATGGAAGGCTACTGTGGAGAAGGTGCAACATAATTTGCTATGTGGCCACACTACTAGGACGACCTTATCTTATTCACATGGCACATCTATGTGTTTGTTGTTTGGTTCAATTACATAAGGTATGTTAGGTTTAGTCGAAGGAATTATGTACCCTAGTTCGGTACATGTTCTCACATGTCATTTCATATGTTTTGTGTGTTGAATTATATAATGCCCTACTTCGTTAGATTTTGTTTGCAGCATGTGATCATATTTCACTATGTTCACAATATTAAGCTGAATATTATGACCATAAATAATGAAAACAACCATATAATAAAAAGTCCAATACTATGTCACATTAAACAACACAATAATAATAGAAGTACGTGCCGACAGTAGACAATATTGTTCATGAATAAACCATAGAACTAGCAAGTCATGGAGACTACTGAGTGCAACGAGGCCACTTTCCCTTTCTCAGGGCATCGGGATTCCCCTCCATCGCTACTTTCGCTCAGCGTGCACGCTCAAGCTTCTTCTCCCTCTCCTCCATGTACACAGCAACACGCCTCCTTTCCTCCTCTTCCTTGTTCTCCTTTTTTGCAGCCTCCTCTCCGCGTCTCTTCTCTATTATCTCCTTATCCTCTCCCTCCCACCGCAACAATTTCTGCATCCATTCCTTAGGTCTGTTTGGCAGGACTGAAAAATAAGCCAAAATACTATTCCGGCTGATTGCTGTGAGGGAAAAATACTATTCTGTCTGGGAACACTGTTCGCGTGAACAGTGCCACTGTGAGAGCGCTGGCCAGCCAGCCAAACGTGGCCCTTGTCTTCAGACTTGATCTCAGTGTCGATCCACTGCTTAAAATCACAGAGCGGTGGAGGGGTCTGCAAAAAATGCAATTGTTACAAAACAAAAAAATCATGCAAGATGTCATATGACACAAATATCAATTCATCACCATCTTGTTAATGCGGCATTGACGAAGTGTAGGCTCAAACGTAAAATTGGAACACATCCAATACCTCTGCCTATACATGTCCTCTTCATCAGACTTGGCTACCTTGCAAGGATCGCCACAAAAGCACATGGGCACTGGAACACCACTAGATAGAGGTAATAGGTCGAAGGCATTTTCGGTCATCCGGCCATAACTACAATACAACCAATTTCGTTCTAAGAACCGAAAGCAATTAACATTAAACCCTAAACCTAGGGTTTCCCATTTGATGCACAACAATGAACTCATAACATAACAACATGCGCTGCAGTTACCTTAGTTTTGTTAGCTTTTCCAGGCCTTGGCATCCTACGGTTGTATAATACAAATATTAAAAATTGCATGAAACCCTAAGTAATGACAATTCTTAGGTTGAAAAATCCGACTAATATATACCGAATCGATGCGAAAAAAACTAGGAGGGGAGCGATGATACCTTGCTCTCGAAGATCTACTGATCAAATCAAAGTTTCCAAGATCCAATATGTCGATTCATGAGGTAGGGCGAAGTGAGGAGAGAAAAAACCTGAGAGGAAGAAGAAAGAAGAGAAATAATGCTCGGGCAGGAAGGTTGGGGACGAGGTTCAAACACCACCTCGACGCCATAGATCCTGGCGCTAAATTCGGCATCGATCTACGGCGCCAAGCTCGACGCCGGGATCTACAGCGCCAAGCTGCCTGCCAAGTCATCGCTACGTCTGCGTCGAGCCCAAGATCTCGGCGCCAGCAACGATGACGCCGAGAAGTGTAAGCTCGGCGCTACGATAGCGCCGAGTTAAGGGTCCAGATTTTGAAATCTTACCACAAGAATATATTTGTGATTTTTTTTTAAAAAAAAGGCTAAATAATAAAAAATTCGGTCAGCACAGCAGCAGCAGCACACGACATCCACCCCGGGCCGGACCCCGAGCCAGTCCTGCCGTCCATCCATCGTCTCGTCCCCGCCCGCCTGCACCTCGCGAGCATCCAAAGCTGTACTTGCGGCAAAGCTCTCGCAAAATCCTGCTCCCACTGCCGACTGACTCGTACCCTCCGCTCCGCTCCCCAATCCGCCATCTTCCTTCCACCCTTGCTTCTCCGGGAGGGAAGGCACCAGGGAGGCCGCCCCGCCACCCATCGCAAAAGCCACGCGCCACCAAACTTTTTTTCACTCACCCCGTCGCTTTCGCGTTCAGCGCGAGCCGAAGCCGAGCCGGTGGGTCGGTCGCTGGAGGCGGAGCCATAAAGGCGTCAGCGACGGCAGGATGATGAGCGGCAGATCGGGCGGGAGGGACGCCGAGGGCGAGTGGGAGGTCCGGCCCGGCGGGATGCTGGTGCAGCGCAGGGACGGCGAGGTGCCCGGCCCCGTCATCAGGATCAGGGTCTCCCACGGCGCCAACTTCCGCGAGGTCGTCGTGCCGGCGCAGGCTACCTTCGGTACGCTACGCATCCCTGTTCGTTTACTGATCCCTTCTCCCTTCTGTCGCATATTAGCATTGGTGAAGAGGCAGAGAAGGAATTGGGTTTTGGATCTCGACAGGTCAACTGACAATCTAGTGGATTTTATTTAAGTCAACACGATTGTTCCGTTCGTTCTCCCAGCTATTGATTTTAGATTAACCAGACCAGTCTAGACGAAGAACAGAGAGTTCTCGAATACCTAGGGTCCTGTTCGCCTGTCTTACTTTTACTTTTCGGCTTATCTTTTTAGCTGTAACAGTGTTTTTTCTCTGCCAACTAATCAGTCAGAACAGTGCTTCAGGATGAATTCTCAGCGAAGGAAACGGGGCCCTATATTCATATTAAGATGAAAAGTGCTTACGTACTTGATGAATCGATCATGACCCTGCTCCGGTAACTTTACCCTGCTGAACGGAAGTCCCGGGACAATATACCTAACTGTTACCCGTTAGCTTTTCGTACTAATCCTTTTGACCATCTGTCTCTATGTTATAGTAGTAGTACTCTGGTCCATAACTACTAGTTATTCTTCTTGTTCAAAAATAATACTAGTGTTTAAATGTTACATTAATAGCTCCTTGCCAGTTGTGATGATCAAATCAGTTGGAACCTCATTGGCTTATAGCCTTATAGCCTCACGTGCAATGGTACAAACCGTTACATCACCTAGTAGGTCTTTACATGCGTGGGAAGCATTTCTGTCAGTCAATCTCTGTACAGTTTATCATTAGAAAGAAGCAGATACCATCACCTTCCCCCCAAAAAAATCAATAAACCTGCATAAATGATCGTTGCTTCTGCATTGATTGCTTGAAGGTGTTGATTTACAATATTCTAATAGGCACTTTGTATTTTGTATATGAAGGTGAGTTGAAGAGTATCCTTGTTCAGACTACTGGCTTGGAGCCTGAGAGGCAGAGGCTCTTCTTCCGTGGGAAGGAGAAGAATGACAGAGAGTTCCTGCACACGGCAGGTGTTAAGGATGGAGCAAAACTGCTTCTGCTTGAGAAGCCTGCCCCTGCCAACATAGAGCAGAAGGTTGAGCCTGTGATTATGGATGAGAACATGATGAAGGCATGTGAGGCTGTTGCTCGTGTTAGAGCTGAAGTTGATAAGCTGTCTGCTAAGGTGAAGGAACATTCCATCTGCCTTCCTTATTTGTTTAAGCATTCAAGTGTCATATTATTTCTGGTGCTCGCACTGTTCCTTTTGTAGGTGTGTGACTTGGAGAAAAATGTGCTTGGAGGGAGAAAGGTTGAGGATAAAGAATTTGTCGTCTTGACGGAGCTGCTTATGATGCAGCTGCTGAAACTCGATGGCATCGAAGCTGAAGGAGAAGCAAGGGCACAGAGGAAGGCTGAGGTACACAACTAAAACACTTGCTGCTGCTATTTTTGCATGTGCTACATGTTCAATGAGAATGCATTACAACGACTGAAATATTTATGATGTAACGCCTCAGGATAAGTTATATTCGAGTTGGAGATATGCCACGAAATGATCTTACTTTTTTTGGCTGAAGTAAGAATTTCAACAGTACCTTTTCTTAGTCATATAATGAGTCCTTGATACCTGCTCGGTGAGTAGTTAGTTCCTGAAGTATGGATGATCGACATATATCATAAATCCCAATGGATTAACTTAGCATCTTGTGGTGATAGTTATCATATGAACCTTGAAATTTTCCATTCGGTAAATTTTCCAGCCAGTAGTATGGTTTCAGGAGTAACTGTGTTTTTCTGTTTTTCGCACTCTGCGTGGTGGTGTAGTGAACTAGTATTTCTTCGGTCGACTTCTTCTGTAGAGAGTGTATCACTTTATTGAGGCTCCTAGTTATTAATGGCCAGGTTTTGCTAGTCTGACCTTATCTGTTGGCTCTCTTCTGGTAAAGATGATCTGACTAAGTTGGCTGCATTGTCCCAGCTTTACTTCTACTCAACTTTGCTTTGTAAGGGCAAACAAACCCTTGATCTAATGTTGCATAAACACTTAAGAGTATTCCAGTTACCATCAAATGTCTACCATTAATGTTGAAATTGTGCCAAGGAAAAGGTACATCTAGAACCTATCCAATCCCTTTCACTTTGTTATTTTCTGGCTTCATTAATCTATATAAGAACACATATGAAAAGGTTAATTGATTTAACAGATTATGCGTTTGCAAGCATCATCAGGGATTGTTCTGAGTTATTTTTGGTACTTCTATAAGCACAAATTGCTGGTTAATTATGTCATATGGTTAGTAGGTTATATTCACGTGCACAACATTTGATAGTTCACACTAATGATGTTATTAGTGTTGGTCTCTAAGGACAAACGGTTTAACTGTAGTCAATAAAATACACACTCATATTATGGAAACGATGAATTTAGACCTGCCAAACCAGTTGCCTGATATAGCTTTTATGTTCAATGCTTCAACATCTCAGGTGCGCCGTGTTCAGTCCCTTGTGGAGACCTTGGATAAGCTGAAAGCAAGAAATGCAAACCCCTTCAGTGATCATAATAAAGCTGTTTCAGTGACAACGCAGTGGGAGACGTTTGAGAACGGCATGGGCAGCTTGAGCGCTCCGCCGCCCCGTGTTTCTTCGACGCAAGTTAACACTGACTGGGAGCAGTTCGACTAGGCTCAGATGAAGCTATTGGTGTATCATGAAATTTGTGAGATCGATATGGACATTCCTTTCCCAGGCAGCGAGGTGTTGTGTATATGCGCCACGTTTGTATATGCACCACGTTTGATGCCTTTGGTGTCCTAACTGCCTGTGAATGTTACCAGATCATACCATACTACCATGTGAATTGCGTCGCTCGTTGAGGGTCATATTTCAATATGCTCCTGCCAATGCCATTCGCATGATATTTATTGGCTGGGTTCAGCAAGGTTGATAACGTCCCTAGCCAGATCCTTTACAGCACTAGCTCATCAGTGAATGCAATTGTACCATGTACAAGCTGACGCTATAGCTGTTCCGAAACTTTACCAATAATAAGTTTCCTGAATTCAGTGTAAATTGAAGCATAGTTAAGAGTAACCATTGCATAGTTCTCCAATGCAAAATGAAGTGACGAGAGAGTTTATCAAAGCATCAAATGTTACCTGCTGGCCAAATGTTTTGGAGTATGATAAAAGGGCAAAATTTATCCATTGGCAAATAATAGATTTGAGTTCCTTTTTATGTTACATTTAATTTAGAGAAAATGGTGATTTGATCCAGTTCAGCGGCAACTAAAGAATGCTAAATTGCTTGTACATCTGAATGCGTGATGCAGCAGTACACCGGCCATGGCGTTTCTAGACGCCTTGGAAGGTAATCTGCTACTACAAACCTACAACTGGATGGTGACGCCTCTAGCTCCCATAGACCCATTCCGGCAAGCCGGTGCTCCGCTGTCTCTTCCCTGACGCCGTTGCCCCACGCGCGGGCCCTCGCCACCTCATTGAGTGTCACGTCGAACCTCTGGCCATCGCCCCAGAGCACGTAGGGCTCCTCCCCGTGTGCCGCGTCGTCGCCGATCCTGAGCTGGTCGTCGGCCATGCGCGTCGTCGACGACTCCCCGTGCACCGCGTCGTCGCCGATCCTGAGCTGGTCGTCGGGCATGCGCAGCGGCACGAAGAGGCCAACGCGTAGAAGGATGCCCGTGGTGACCACGACGTTCCAGGAGAGGACGAAGAGGGCGCCGCCATAGAAGGTGGGAGTGGAGGGCCATGAGGTTCGGTGTGCCGAGGAGGCCAGTAGTGAGGACGTCGCCGAGCCCAGCGACGGCGTGCGTGTCGTCCAGCTTCTGTTGGAGGAACATCATGGTGACCCACGGCACGCTGCCGGCGCAGCCGCGCAGACGCCCATCAGTATGGACTATGTGTGCACCAGTCCTGCACGTGTGTCGTGCAGGACAATGTAATTTGTAAGTGCCAAACTTTTATATATACAAGCTACTAAAAAACGTAAATGCGATAGCCATTATAAGCTCTGGCGTATAATCCACATTTTGAGGGCATTTTTTCCCACATAGTTTAGCTGCACTGCTGCACTGGCGGTGATACAGACAAGCCCGGCAATGGACATTGCCATCATGCTCTGCACCGCGCCAATAACTGAGGGCCTGCCGAAGAAAATGACGTCGAGGCAGGTGCAGGTCAGGAAGCTCGTCGCGGCACTGACATTGGTGTTGAGCACGGCAATGGACGCGCAGTGATGTCGGGCCGTACGGCGCACCGCCATTGAACCCAGCCCAGCCTAGCCACAGCAACCCACCGCCGGCGATATGAGGTGGATGTTCATTCAGGCCCCGTTTAGATGTCCCCAAAACCTAAAAAATTTTGCACAGTACCCGTCACATCGAATCTTGCGGCACATGCATGGAGTACTAAATGTAGACGAAAAAAAAACTAATTACACAGTTGGCCGAGAAATCGTGAAACGAATCTTTTAAGCCTAAATAGTCTATAATTGGACAATTTTTGCCAAATACAAACAAAAGTGCTACAGTAGCCAAAAACCAAAAAATTTTGGAACTAAACACACCCTCAATTCGGTGCCAAACTCTACCTGTCGCTCTTCAGCCTCCGCCCCCACCTGGAAGAAATTTATTTGTCGCCTATCGATTGGTTAACAAATTCATGTTCTACTACCAAGTACAAAGAGAGAATTTAATTGCTTGTTGATTAACATTGGCAAGGGTGTGACACTTTACCACTGACTGCATGCTCCCGCGTTCGGCCGTCCTACCTACTGTTTTCCCTGACCAACGACGAAATCACTGCAAGATGTAACGAAATTCAGACGACCGAAACGGCGGTCTGTCGCACGGCACCGCCCGTGTACTCCAGACACGTACGTTCCCAGTAGGCAGCGGTGAAGCCGGCGACTCCGGAGGAGAGGAAGCCGCTGCCCCAGAGGCTGAATGTGTAGAATTGTAGATGGTGTAGGAGGAGCAGGAGCAGCCACAGGCCACAGCGACGTGAACGCCATCCACGCTCTGACGATGTTCATGTGCCCGAGGAGCGAACCGGCCGGCACCGGCAGCTTGCACCACTGCACCAGCGCGCGCGATGGCGGTCAACTCAAACTCAAACAGCACGAGCGACGCCGCGTCTGGGTAGTGCGGCTTTGTGTGCGTGACTCCACGCTTTGTGCACCAAGAACGCCGTAGCGCGGCGTGGCGGGGAACGACGCGCGCACGTCGAGGAAACCCTCCGGCAGCGGACTGGATGCCCACGAACGTCGCCGCGGACGCGTTGTCGCTCTTGTTTAGCCACGCCGGCACCGCCGGAGGTCGGCCGTGTCGTGCAGGCGCCTGTCTGAGGCGGCGTGGCCATTCATGCGTCCGGTGGCACACGGTGTCACCCGATGAAAATTCTCGCGAGCTGCGGCGTGACGCAGGTGCGCACCGTGACGTGGCTCCTTGCCCGTGAGCGGTGATCTTTTTCTCAAATCCACAGTCATCTAGGTTTCTATCGTGTATCATACTGTTCTCTTTGCAATTATTTTACATTTTTAATTTAACTTTTACGGTACACACGAATGAATAAATTATTTACAAGGTCCTACGTGCGCATGGGCACGCACGAAATCACTAGTATCATCTAAAGGGGTATAGGTTCAAGAATTGTTCAAAAGTCATGATTATATCTTTATTTTGTTCAATGTCCACAACAATTCTGCGACGATGACGTCCATTTGCAGCAGATTTGACGAAAGAAAGCAGGTAATTCCAACTCACTCTAAATTAACTGTGTTGTAATCTTATTCGGCCTGATGATCAGTGCATGATCAAATAAATTAATGCCGAAAGAAAAACACACTGTGGCTATCTCAAATAGATAGTACTTGTACTTATACTGCCATAGCTCTTTATTTGCTGAATCTACGTATAATATAACCCAGCAACGGACCTGAGATCAGCAGTAACAGTGGCACTTGTGGTGACCACTGCGGAACTTGCACTCGCCGCCGCGGCAGGAGGTCTGGCACCACGAGTTGCAGGCACCATTCTGATCCGAAGATCACCCGTTCATCATGAAAGATAGTCGTTTCAGCACATAGGATTGGACGAGGCTGCGGCAACACACATATATCACATGGACAAGAAACAAAGCATGCATTCGTTAGCTACTATTAGTTCTAAACAAAACAGACAAACGATGGCATTATAGAGTTGTAGCTGCTGAGAGAATAAGATGTGTCATCGTCATCGTCATCGTCAAGTTACCTGTCGAGGCAACAAGAAAGGCGAGCACGATGAGCACAACTACTGCACCTCAGGTTGAAAACGAAAACGAAAATTCCCGACCGAATCGCATCGTTTTTTACATTTGATCCGATTGTTTTCAGTTTTTTCGGAAAAATACAAATTCGATACGAAATTCGGACAGAAAATTCGAAAACGGAGCGGAATTCGGTTTAAGCTATTTTCGACCGTTTTCTACATTTCTATATTATATTCGGTATGTAACCGAATTCGAAATTCGGTGCTAACCGAATTTGGTCCAATATTCACAAAGCCCAATAAGCCTACTCTACAACCTAGCCCAACTTAACAACCCTAAACCCTCCACTCCTATTCCCGTATTCCCTTATCCCTTCACTCCGTGCAATTGCGGCGCCGCACCCGCACGTGACCGTCGCGAGTCACGACGCACCTGCCCCCTCCCGTCCTCCGGTCCTCCGTCCTCCCTCCCTTCCTAGCAGCGCCGCCACCAGCGCCGTCCTCCGCCGACCAGACCCCACTCCGCCAGCGCCGCCACCCCGCGCGTCGATGGCGCCCCCTCCTGGAACGAAGGGCAAGCCCAAGACGAAGAGCGTGTGTCAACTTCTAGAGCCTCCGCCTGTTCCGGCAGCGACAACAACGACGTCTCCAACAGGTTCATCTTCCTACAATCCTACATTCCTACCACTACCACTACCAGTGATGAAAATTGCCTATGTATTTCCCCACCAGTTAGCAGTGTGTAAGAATAATAAGATTTAGTATGTCTTTACCTCACACAAATTATTTTAATAGCAACAGTCCCTATTTTATTTGGCTATTCTAGTTTTTTTTTCTGATTTAGCAATGTTTCACTTGGCTTTTGGTAGGATCTGGGATTAGAAGGCCTTCATCTCAAAGTGTTGCATCTAGTGGAACTTGTGAAAGTCCAGCTACAGCAGCATCAGTGCTAGGATCAATGGCGGCATCAGTGGCAGCATCAGTTGATAGTGATGCACCAGCAACAACCACAACATCTCCACCTAATCAAGTGCCAATTAATGTTGATGATCAAGAGGATGACGACGATCCAGAGCAGGCTCGCCTTTCTGGCAAGAGGTTTAAGAAATTGACATCGTGGGTCTGGCAATATTTCACCAAGAAAAAGGAGTATGTAGAGGTGGAAGGAAAGCTAGTTGAGGAGTTGTGGGGACACTGCAATTTCTCTAGGTGTGATCACAAATATAGAGCTGAGGGCTCCAATGGGACGACTTCATTCAAGCACCACTTGCTTTCAAAACACAGTATTGTGAAGGGACAACAACAGCTTAAAGCTGGTAAGACACCTGGTTCTGAAATTGCTCATGTTCAGCCTTACAAATATGACCAAGAAGCTAGCTTGAAGAAATTAAATTTGGCAATAACCATGCATGAATATCCTTTCAATATAGTTGAGCATGAGTATCTTGTTGATTTCATCAAATCTCTCCGTCCTAGCTTTCCAATAAAATCCCGTGTCACTGTTAGGAAAGAAATAATGGACAAATATCTTACTGAAAAGGAAACTTTGTATGCACACTTGAAAACTATGAAGTGCCGCTTTAGTGCAACAATGGATATGTGGACCTCATGCCAAAACAAAGGATACATGTGTGTTACTATTCATTGGATAGATGATAATTGGCATATACAAAAGAGAATTATTGGTTTTTTCAATGTAAAAGGTAGGCATACTGGTGCAAAGTTGTCTCAAACATTCACTGAAGTTATGGTTAAATGGTACATTGAGAATAGACTGTTTGCTCTGACTTTGGATAATGCTAGTTCAAATGAAGTGGCTGTCAACGATATAATTTCAGATCTGAAAGACAATGCTACTGGTTCCCTAGTTTGTGATGGGATGTTTTTTCATGTTAGATGTGCCTGCCATATTCTGAATTTAGTTGCTAGAGATGGGTTGAAAGTCATTTCAGGAACACTCAGCAAGATCAAATCACTTGTACTAGGTGTGAAAGGTTCTCCATTGCAGTGGGAAGAGCTTATGAAGTGTGCCACTGAAGCTGGGTTGGATACAAAGAGGGGTATTCAAATGGATGTTTCAACAAGGTGGAACTCTACCTATCTAATGCTGCGAGATGCCTTGTACTATAAGGATGCATTTATTAGGCTCAAGTCTTCAAATCGTCGTAAGTATGACAAGTTTTCTCCATCTTATGCTGAATGGGAGAATGCATTGACACTTTATGGTTGCTTGAAGAAATTTTATGATCTCACTGAAATTCTCTCTGGCACTTCATACCCTACCGCAAACTTGTTTTATAGAGGTTTCTGTGAGATAAAGGTCTTGCTTGATGAGTGGTGCTATGCTGAAAATATTACAATTAGAGAAATGGCAATTTCTATGAATGCAAAATTTGAGAAATATTGGGAGCAGTCCAACATTGCTCTAGCTGTAGCCTATTTTCTTGACCCTAGGTATAAGAAAAGGGGCATAGAGTACTGCATGAAGAAGTTCCATGGTGCTTATTATCAAGCTGAACTTGATGAGTTTGTTAGTGTGGTAAAGAAACTGTACAACTTTTATGCTGCATCATCAAAGAAAACTAGTCAAGGGGCTGCACCTAGACCTAGTAACATAACTGATATATTAATGGGAAATGTAGACCATGGCCTAGAAGAATTCTTATATGAAGCAAGTGAATCTAGAATGGTTGAGTCAAATGAGTTGGACATGTATATGGCAGAATCACTAGTGAAACTTTATGGTGAGTTTGACATCTTAGCATGGTGGAAAAATAAGAGAGAACAGTATCCTATCCTTTCACAAATTATTCGGGATGTAATGGCCATACAAGTGTCAACAGTAGCATCCGAGTCTGCTTTTAGTGCTGCTGGCCGTGTTGTTGATCTCTATCGCAGTCGTCTTGATCCCGAGATGGTACAGGCTTTAATTTGCACAAAGGATTGGGTTGCTGCAGCAAGTAAAGGTGCTAATTTTACTTGTTATTTTCACTTAGATACTTGTAGTTGCAGCCGAATAATGCATTGCATTTTTTCCTTCCTTATTTTTTTCAGATTCTAAAAAGCTTGGATCAATTGTGAGTGATCTTGAGGTTGATGCTTTGACTAATGTTGTGGCTAAACTGAAAATTGAGGTATGTTTATTGGCTGCTTCCTATGAAATATACTAGCTGCTAGCTACATGTAGTTTTAATTAACTTCGCAAATTTGTACTGCTTCCTGTGAAATATACTAGCTGCTACATCTAATTTTAATTAACTTGCATACTTGTAGGAAAATAACAAGGAGCGGGATGAGGACAATGAGGTGGACAATGAGGAAGCAATTGACATGGAAAGTGATCCTGACATCATGAATGATGCTAATGACTGTAGATGTTCATGTCCTATCTATGTCCTATTAATTAATTGCTTATTCGTAATTTGTATTAGCGTGTCGGTGACTATATGTTTGTCAATTGTGATGATACTTAAGGTCATGCACTCGTTATTCGTTAACTATTATGTGCACTTGAACTAAATCATGCACTTCTTAGTTTGGTCATGCACATTTTTAAAGTCATGGACCGTGGGTCGGTATTTCGTATTGAATTTTTGTATGCCGACCGTGTTCGACATAATTCCGATCGAATTGGTTCGTTTTCGAAATACCGAAAGTTCGTTTTCGTTTTTGTTTCTGGCTATATCGTTTCCGCTTTCGTGTTCGTATTCAAATATAAAAGTAGAAAACAATAGAGGGGTTTTTCGACCGTTTCCGATCGAATTCATCCTTAACTGCACCTGTACGCTCTATGTTCCTCTGTATAAGAATTTCTTAACGAGCTAGCAGAAAATATTTCGATATCGGTCGATGGTGTTATAGTTCGTTTTGGGTGCCTATGTCTATTTATACCTGGAGACTGCATGCCTTTGACTCTGCAGTGTCCAAATTATGTAAATTAATGTTGTTACTCCCTCCATGCAAAAAAGAATGCAATTCTCGCTTCCCGAGGAATCAACCGATTTCGACTTTGACCAAAGTTCTAAAAAAATACTAACATTTACAATATAAAATAAGTATCAATAGATTAATGACGGAATATATTTTCATAATAAATCTTAGTTGAGACATAAATATTAATACTAATCACTATAAATTTGATCAAACTTTAGCAAATTTGATCGGCACGATTTCCATAATTGCACTCTTTTTGAGACGGAGAGAGTATTATTTACTATATTATGGAAGTTAAATCGTTTCCTATATACTATTTTTTGATCTATTTTCCTTCCAAATTGTTTCACCGCGAGAGGTGACAAGAAAACCAGTTACACCAAGAGGCCGAACCTTGCTGCAGAAAGTAGAAGAGCTGATCGACCCGGCCACTGAGCAGTGGGACGCGCAACTCCTTAATCAGTGCTTCTGGGAGGAGGATGTGAGATTAATTAGACAGCTACCGGTACATAAGGACATGGACGATACTTTGGCTTGGCATTATGACAGCAAGGGAATTTTTTCGGTCCGGTCAGCATATAAGGTCCACAGAGCAGGTGTTTTATTCGCAACTGTTTGGATGTGGGGTGGATAAATTCCCTTTCCGCTACCTTGGTTTACCGATGCACACTATGAAATTGAGTAATAAAGATTGGCAGACAATTGAAAATAGAATTGAGAAGAAACTTAGTGGATGGAAAGGTAAATTACTCTCGGTAGGAGGTCGTTTGGTCTTAATAAACTCGGTGCTCTCTAGCTTACCGATGTTTATGATGTCATTCTTTGAATTATCTAAAGGTGTATTAGAAAAGATTGACTGTTTTAGATCAAGATTCTACTGGCAAAATGATCAACACAAACGCAAATTCAGATTGGCCAAATGGGAGATCTTGTACCAACCAAAAGGCCAAGGAGGCTTAGGTATACACAATCTAGACCTACAAAACAAATGCTTGCTGAGTAAGTGGCTTTTTAAACTTTTGAATGAAGATGGCATGTGACAAGAATTGTTGAGGAATAAATATATAAAAGACAAGACTCTAGGGGGATGCACTAAAAAGTCAACGGATTCTCATTTCTGGAAAGGTCTGATCAATGTTAAAGATTCCTTCGTGAGCTTTGGTTCATTCAAAGTGAAAGACGGGTCACAGACTCGTTTTTGGATGGACACTTGGTTGGGAAATCAGCCATTGAAGGATAGATTCTCTTCGTTGTTCAATACTGTGAGAAGAAAACAAGATTCGGTGGCAACAGTAATTGCTTCAGTTCCACTAAACATTTCCTTCCGCCGCAACCTGGTGGGTATGAACCTAAGGGACTGGCATAGAATTGTTGCATCGTTACAAGATGTGAATTTACAGGGGGGAAAGGGATGCTTTTATTTGGGGACTACATTCATCAGGTGGATATTCTGTATAATTTATGTATGCTGCGTTAATTAACAATGGGGTCAAAGTGTCATAAGATTTATGGCGGATTAAAATACCTACAAGAATAAAAATATTTTTGTGGTACCTAAAAAGAGGTGTGGTCCTTACCAAAGATAACCTTGCCTGACGTAACTGGAATGGTGACACAAGGTGTAGCTTTTGTCACTCTCCAGAATCTATTCATCACCTTTTTATCGAATGCTTTTATGCCAAATTCCTGTGGCACGCTGTACACTTAGTGTTTGGGATATCACCTCCCCTCAGCATAGATGATTTATTTGTTAATGGGTCTAAAGTTGGTGGTACTATTCACAATTCATTGTTACTAACAGCAGCATCGGTTTTACGTTGGACAATTTGGATAACAAGAAATGAAGTGGTTTTTGACAAATGTAGACTAAATTTTTTTTGCAGGTACTCTTCAGAGGAACCCATTGGCTGCGGCAATGGGCAAGACTGCAGCGGCGTGATGATCTACGGGACCAGCTGACATTTGCTGGGCGGCTTTTGGAGACATCAGCCTTTGCATTTCTTTAGTTACAATGGGTGGTTCTCAAATATATTTATCGGTACTTCTTAGTTGTGACTTTACTTCACGCTTTGTGTTTTCAAAGTCTGGCTGTAAGCTTGTGAACTGTGTAAGTTGTGTGCTCACCGTTGGGTCGAACCTTGTAATAATTGGCCTGATTCTACCTCATGGTAGATGAAGCTGGATATAAACTATCCTTTATCTATAAAAAAAAAAAAGCAGCGCAGCAACGGTGTCAGCAAAGAACAAGGCCGGGGGTTTCGGAAAGCAGCAAGGGAAAAGGAGAATTCTGGAGGAAACTATGGAAAATTGACTGCCCGCCGAAGGTGAAGCATTTCCTTTGGAGACTAAGTCATAACTATTTGGCGCTCTGGATGGTTCTACAGCGACGGGGTATGAAACTTGACACCAGATGTTGCATGTGTGGGAGATTAGATGAAGATGGCGGTCACCTGCTGTTTAAGTGCAAACATGTGAAGGAGGTTTGGCGTGCTCTAAATCTAGAAGAGATACGATGTAAACTTGTTCAAGCTGCGTCTGCAAGGGAGGTGATGGAGGAAATCCTACTGATGGAGCCGAAAGTTCAGGTCACTGTTGTAATGCTCCTTTATATCTGGTGGCGTGAAAGAAATACATGGAGAGAGGAAGGGAGAAGAAGATCGGTGGTGGCAATGGCTTATAGTCTTATACTGCTTCTGCACAGGCTGATAAAGCTACTGCTCATGCTGAAAACCTGAAGGACATTGAAACACCATTGCCGTTGCCGGATTTCTGTCAGAAAAAAGGCTGGGAGAAGCCGGAGCAGGGGGTCCTTAAGATTAACTCTGATGGAGCTTTCTTTGAGCAGTAGGGAGACGGTGGATGGGGTTATGTTATCAGGGATAATGAAGGCAGGATGTGGAAAGCTGGCAGCGGCAGGGAAGATTTCTTACAGAGTGCTTTCCATGCTGAATTGCTGGGATGCTTTGAAGGACTGAAAATGGCGGCTCAGATGGGGATGACACAAGTGATACTTGAAACGGATGCAACTACCGTGAAGACTGCTCTGCAAGGCGATGAGTACAGACTGTCACCGATGGGCGGGATGATTATAGAGATCAAACATTTCATGGCTGCAGAGTTCTCCATGTGTAGGGTTAATGTCTGTCCCCGTGTCTGTAATAATTTAGCTCATGAGTTTGCCTCAATAGGCTGTAAGATGCACAGTGGTGATGGCGCCACTTGGGATTGTGTACCTCCGTTTTTGGAAGGTTTGGTGTCCAGCGATTCAGCTGTGACAGAGGAGTAATGAAAAGCCTCGTTTCAAAAAAAAATGCATTCCAAACCAACATACAGGACGTATGCAAAGGAGGCCGGTTTTCAAAGTTCACCTGGAGGCGGTTGGTGAAAAAATTTCAGGGACAGTACGTGAGCCGCATGAATGGGACGGTGAAAACTGAGAAGCGTGGCCTGCTGTTGGTCAACTTGGGAAGCCCAAGTGGTCCATATTCTTTAGCATCCGTATCAAATCTCTTCTCTCTGTTGTTCTTTTCTTCTCAATTTCTCATGTCCTCCAAATTTTTTACTGCTGTGGAGCACCCATGTAGCAGGGGCCGCATTGTGAAATATGAAGGATCTATCAATGAATTACTAGTTATTGAGTACATAGTACAGTAGCAATTTAGGATTTTAACGTTGGACTTTCAGTTTTGCCTGAAAAACAGCTCTGAATCTCTGATGTAATAACAGACTCATTAAGTCATTATGATGAGTTGTTTAAGCAAAGTAGTCACACTTATAAATAGCCACATTAGCACTGCACCATAAGAACAAAGGACACCAGTGATTATCAAAGTCGACATTTGAAGATCGAAACAAACTAATCTCATCATCAGGAAAAGAAATTACGACGACATACACCAGCTAACACTGAACATCAAAGACTCAAGAAACAAGCATGTCGAGATCAGAGAGCCCAGGCCCACTGACCAGTCAAGCAACGGGAGGAGCTACAGCTGAATGGTGACACCTCTGGCACCCATGCTGGTCAGTCGCTGCGCCACCGTGTCCTCCCTCGCGGCGCCGCCCGAGGCACTGCCGGTCCTCGTCGTGTCCGGGCGCGTCACGTCGAACTTCTCGCCATCTCCCCAGAGCGCGTAGGCCTCCTCGCCGTGCGCCGCGTCGTCGCCGATCATGAGCTGGTCGTCGGGCATGCGGAGCGGGATGAAGAGGCCGATGCACAGGAGGATGGCGCTAGTGACCACCAGGTTCCAGACGGTGACGAAGAGCGCGCCACCGAGCTGCTTGCCCATCTGCGCGACGCCGCCGCCGTAGAAGACGCCACGCTCGCCCGGGACGGGGGAGTCGAGGGCGCAGAGCTCCGGGGTGGCGAGGAGGCCCGTGAGCACTCCCCCGAGCACGCCCGCGACGGCGTGGGTGTGGAACACGGCCAGGGTGTCGTCGACCTTCATGAGCAGGGAGGATTTCTTGTGCAGGATCATCATCGTGAACCACGGGACGCTGCCCGCGAACGCGCCCATCAGCATCGCCGACCACGTGTGCACCAGCCCTGCGCCACGCAAACCAGCATGGCACCATCATGTGCATGTGTTGCTCAGTGAACACATGACGTTACGATTGTTTCGAGATGAAATTGAGAGGCTCGTTACCTGCGCCGGGCGTGATGCAGACAAGCCCGGTCATCATGCCCTGCACCGCGCCGATCACCGAGGGCTTGCCGAAGAAGATGACGTCGAGGCAGGTCCAGGTCAGGAGGCTCGTCGCGGCGCTAACGTTTGTGTTGAGCACGGCGACAGACGCGGTTATGTTGGGGGCGTACGGCGCGCCACCGTTGAAGCCGGCCCAGCCGAGCCAGAGCAGCCCGCCGCCGGCAATCATGAGAAGGATATTGTTCGGCGAGAACCTCTCCCTGTCGCTCTTCAGTCTGGGGCCCACCTGTCAGTATCACGTTGTTATTGTGGTACAGATATGCTACTAGTACGTGTCTACCGTCTACGTGAGGTTTACCCAGTATGCGGCGGTGAAGCCTGCAATGCCGGAGGAGAGGTGGATGACGTATCCGCCGGAGTAGTCGATGACGCCCCACTGGTAGAGGAAGCCGCCGCCCCAGAGGCTGAACGCGCCGACGGTGTAGGAGAAGAGCAGCCACAGCGGCGTGAATGCCATCCACGCTCTGATGTTCATGCGCCCGAGGAGCGACCCGGCGAGTAGCACCAGCGTGATGGCCGCGAACTCGAACTCGAACAGCACCAGCGACGCCTGCGCGTAGTATGGCTCGGTGCGCGGCGTCTCCAGCACGCCGCCGCGGCCGTAGTGCGCCGTGGCCGGGAAGACGGCGCGGCGCACCAGGAAGTCCTGCGTCAGCGCTGGCCCAGCCTTGGCCCAGAACGGGAGCATGCGCTCGCCGAACGCCATGCGGAAGCCGACGAGCACCCAGACGATGAGCGTGGACGCGTACGCATACAGCGCCATGAAGGCAGAGTTGACGGCCCACTTCTTCTTGACGATGCTGCCGTAGAGCACGACCAGCCCCGGCATGGACTGGAGCCCGACGAACGTGGCCGCCACCAGCTGCCACGCGTTGTCGCCCTTGTTCAGCCACGCCGGCACCGCCGGGAGGTCGGGCATGTACGGCCCGGGCTCCGGTGGCGACGCCATTCCGGTGGACGCGACGTGCATTTGGCTTAGTGTTTGAGCGAGCTTCAAGGAGTACGTGAACAACTGCGCACGAAGTGGCTGATAACTGGAGATGGGCGTTTAATAGCCATCTGTTCCAAGCTGAAATGGCGAATTTTGGGCTAATCTAGTGCAGGTTGCGTTTGATAAAGTTTGGGCCAGCTCGGAGGCGAGCTCGTTAGACGTGATGCGCGCTCGAATCGACGTGTGGTGGGGGACGAAATGTGGGGAACCGCAACCGGTTCCGGGTCAAACCTGGCAACTCTAACGCGGACCGTTTTCTTCCTCAAAACTTTTGGCTTCGTTCCCTTGAGCTAAGACGTTGCTGCTGCAGTGATGTACTGAAAGACATTGCAACCGTAGCTGTAGCAAAAGCTTTAGGCCTTGACCAGGTACCAGTCGGGGAGACGAAATTGGAGTCTCGGCTCTGAAGTCTGAAGATTGGTACCGTTGGAGACGCAGTTGGAATTTTCAGTGTATATATTCCACGTTCAAAGATCATCAGAACGGAGGCCTCATCTTTTTTATATATCGTTAAAAAGCATGGGAGGCTGTGTACTTGTGTTAGGGTGAGCATGAAGAAACAGCTAGGGATTGGTCTCATCCGGCACAGGATGTCACCATTCTGTTTTTTGTAACCACAACTTGGATTACGTGAACTACATATGGCACACAAATGTAGGTTGTGCCGAAGCCCAAGGAATTATCCTCAATAGGTAATGATTTGATCCGGGATCCAACAGAAGTATGCGAATGTAAAATCCAAACAAGCCAACATGGAGTTCTTAACCGATTAGTCAGTTTACTGAAATGCTGGGAGGCATGTCTACCTCCGGTACAGCATCCCCGGATTAACAACCTACCAAGTTGAGATAAACGGCTGAGAGTCATCAGCACAAGGGAACTGATTGCACCCAATATCTCGCAGCATGCAGTTGAAAGAGCCTTGTCACTTGAGAGTTGAGAAAAACAAGTCACTAGATTTCTCGATCAGGGGAAACTGATGATGGTTAACCAGAACCAGTGCATCGCTTCGGTATGGATTTTATTTTTACCACTTTGTCATAACCTTGGTCATCAAGATACTTAGGTTTGCTTGCTTTAGTTCAATATAATGTGAAACAAGTGCCTTTTCAAACAAATGAAATTATAACTTCAATTACCTCCGGTCATTTATTTGGAGCAATGTGATGCACACATGAAAAGAAAGAGACCTCATAAAACTATGGGCAGTGCAAGCTTGCCTGATAAAAGAGGTATATATAAGACAGATGAGCAACTGCGCAAGTGGACCTAAAATGCCTAATATGCCAAAGTTTCATCCTCACTCCGGGCTCAAATGCATGCCCTACTACACAGGAACATGACAACATGGCCCTCAAAAAGCAAATATGATTGCTAGTATTTTGTAACATAATTATAGAAATGATTACAATCAATCTAACTACTTGAAAACAATGTAAGCAGTCAGTTTTTTTTTTTTGAAACAAAGCAGTCAGGATTAAATGCTTGAGCATAACTTTATGTCCAAAAGAAGAATTTGTGACTGGATATATTAAAGCACAGACCCCTATGTACGCAGATATAAGTTGTTTATGGTCATTGACGCTGCCTCCAATATGACACTTCACTAGTGCTTTCTATTAAGTTATATTTTTCTGAATAAAAAAGAGTTGTATATTGTTAAAGCCTTTTCAATTATGAATCATGTAAATCAATTTTATGACTTAATCTACATAATTATTTCTATATGTTGGTAAAGTGTAAAGTTTGGCCAGCACATATCCTAAAACTGACTTATATTTACAATCTAAAGGAGTATAATGCTGGATGATAAACAAAAGTGAACATATTCTCCAAACTCTAGGTACAGATTCTCAACGTTTATATTTTCTCAGTAAAGTTTTACATATTACAACATGATGGAGAAACATCTCATATGTCCTTTGAGGCTAAACATCAAAAGATGAGGTTACCAACTAGGAATGATGTTAAAGGAACAGACAAATTGTCATCCAGTTCTGTACTGATGGGGTGTGATTCAATGAGTGTTGCAGCTACAGAGACAACGAGGAAGCCTAAAGCCATGTACCATGTTTCCTCAATAAAGCCAAAAGTGTGGAAGTAATGCATGTACCTGAATAAATGAGACTGAATGATTAAAAAGAAGTGGATGCAACTGAGAATTCAGTAGAGGTTAGACATTACCCAACTGAGGCCAGAAAACCAGCCAACACCATTGCTATGCTTCCAGCATATGATTTATTGGGGTTGCATGGAAGTTTTTCTTTACCTAGGCGTCTCCTAATTACATCAGCTATACCAGGGAATGCATAAATCAACATCAGCAGAGTAGAGCCATATTTAATTATCATGTTTGTAGCACGAAACTTTTTGGAACATCCAGAAGTATGTTTTTCCTTTTATAAATTAAAGAGGAGCAAATTAATGACATACGGTTTCCGGTAACTATACGAATGAGCTAACAAATTATGAAGCATACAATTGATTTATTCTAGGATAAAAGAAGTGAAATGCAGATATTAACATACCATCTCCTCCATTCTCTCTTTCTCATAAAAATATATCCACAGCGCTTGTCCGCTCGTCTCGGCGTGGGCGCGTGGCCACTCATCCACCTATCCCACTCCGCCCCGCCACGCTCCCTTCCCCACCGCGCGCCTGTCCTTCGCGCACACCGTGCCCTTCCCCCTGCCGCGCCGCACCCTATCACCGGCCGCGTCGCACCACCATCACCCCTGGGCCACCAAGAGGAGGTCGTCACCGGTCCAGACTTCATCTCCCACGACCGGCCGAAGATACCGTGGCAGGAAGAGTAGGCCTGCGCATGTTAGGTCGTTTGCTCTCGACATTTCCCCTGGACCCGAGCTTGCTGGCTACCGCAGTCCTCCACAAGGTAGGCTATGGCCGCCGGCGACACCGTGTTTCAAGTGTTTAATGCGTTTCAGACTTATGCTCCAAGTGTTTTATCTAAATGTTGCAAAAGTCGAACTAGGATGTTGTATATATTGCAATGGCAATACACATATGTTGCAAGCCTATGTTTCAATTGTTTCATGTGTTTCAGACATTTGTTTTAAATGTTTCATCTGGATGTTTCAAAAGTTGATCTGGTGTTGCATATGTCGCAATGGCTATACAGCATGTTTCAAACATGTGTTTCAAGTGTTCCATCTGTCTTTAGACGTATGTTACATATGTTTAATCTGAATGTTTCAAAAGTAGATCGGGTGTTGTATGGCGCCGATGGATGGCGAAGAGCAGCCTGCCGTAGGGTTTTGGCTTCTACCTCGCGCCTTCCTCACGACGCGCCTCGCCCTCTCTTTTCCTCTCCCTCCCCTCCCTTCCCTCCCCTCTATCTCACCGTGGTAGTTCGAGCTCGACCTGAGCAAGATGGGCGTGGGACGAGGGAGCTGCGTGCGTCGAACGCAAGCGTGGGAGCTCTGTCCGGACGGACGCCGCCTCCACGGGCACGGAGGGAACTGCGTGCATCGTGGTACAAAACAGGTGCAGGTGCGGACATTCTGGCGCAAGCATTACCGTTTATTATTAGCTTTTTATAGAAATGGGACAGGTGATTGTTTGGAAAGCCGGCTTTGTTTCCTTTCATTTATTTCCTCGTGGGGGCCTGCACCTTCTTTTCTCGTTTCCTTCATTTTTGAACAAAGGATCTGTTTGGTTACAAGGGATTAGAGGCTAGTGAGCTTATTTTAGTCCCTTCTAGTCCCTAGTTTGCGAAACTGAAAGGACTTATGAGAGACTAATAGTCTCTAGTCCAGTAGTCCCTTGAGAGGAGTTATTTGAGACTTTTGGCCCAAAAAAGGATAGCCCATACCCCTCCCTCGCTCTCCTCCCTCGCGAGTTAGACTAGAGGCTGGCCTTTTGGTCTTTATTCAGCAGCTTTAATGCCCTTTAGTCTCTTTTATTAGTCCCTTGAACCAAACAGGCCAGCAGTCCCTCTATTTGGGACAGCTCCACCAAGGTAAAAAGTGAATCTGGATCTAGGATTCACCTAGATCCACGGTGGAGCAGCTCTACTAGTGGAGCTGGAGGTGTTTGGGACAACTCCACCTTCATCTCTATTTCACTTCCACGTGGGTCCCACACGTCAGCCTTTGAAAGTGCAATCAAGCCCTAATTGTGGGGTTTGGTGATAATGACCACGCAATTAGAGAACTAATGAGATTTATCGAGATGATAAGCAGGGAATTCATGTTCGAGGATGCTACACGAAACGAAGGAGCCCCAAATTACAAATATAAATGGCTTCAAACTCAAAGGAGGTTTAAATTCTTTTATATTTTGAATTTGAGTATAGGAAAAGCCGTACTATAAAGGGGGACACAATGCTTAAGCTAATATGTGCTACAAAGTGCTCAAACATACACATGCATCCTCAGATTCACAGCCAAGACAGTCTACACTCCATTCTTACCCTTGTTGTCTTGCGTGGTGCGGCACTGCCGCACTTGAAGAGAGGCACTACCGCAATGTGGCACTGCCGCACTTGAGCCGTGGCACTGCCGCAACTTAAGTGACCGTTGGGGGCTAGGGGGTATTTATACCCTTCCCCTTTCTCCCCAACGGCTCTCTGCCTCTTCTTTCTCACTTCAGCACGTCCAAAATAGAGCAGGAGCTCTCTTTCCCTCCATTGTTGACCTCAAGCCTCCAAGCAAATCCATTGATTTCCCCATCAATCCTTGAGGGAAAAAGGGTCCAAAACTCGATTAGAGAGCAGCTCCATTGATCCCCCAACTCTAAAGAGCACTTGGTTCACGCTTTGGCCGGCGATTATGTTTGTTACTCTTGGAGCTTGGCTCCTAGCCGGCTAGAGCGTTGCCCGTGGAGCTTGCCAACTTGCGTGGCAGCCCCGAGAGGTTTGTAACAATCTTATGAAGTTAGTAAACTCACCCCTCATCTCAAGAGTTAAGTCTCTTGATTTGAGAACGAGGAAGAGTTAG